GGATCAATCAATCTTGCTCGATATCCACCGCGAGCATTTTCATCTTCACCGTCATCGCTCAAGGCTCTCTTGGGGCTTGGAGATCCACAGCAATCCCCGCACTGTCAGCCCTGTTGCGGAACTAACCAGCTCGTGGGCCGGTCGTGATAGGCCAGAGCGTGAAGCTCAAGGACTTGTGAGATGCGTGAGACCTTGAGCTAAGTTAGTTCCCCCTCAAGCCCCTCCAGGTGTGGCTATGCTGGCCCGCGGCATGGCACAGCTCCATCAAATTCATTCGGCTGTGAGTTGGCGTGGATAAAAATAGGATTTGTGAATAATTATATTGCCGATCACCCTCAACCTTTTTTTCTTGACTGGCCACAGCACAGCACGTAGGCCAAGCGCTGGGAGGACCTGCAGAGAGCCGTAGCCAAGATAAATTCATAGCCAACCAAATATTACCTGTGCCGCTGAAGGGTTCGTTCTCTAGCCCATTTCGCGGCCTCCTCAGTCTTCTGATCCAGAGGAGTAAATGCAAGTCTGCCCGAATTTGGATGCTGCTGATCGTTTGCTGCTGTTGGTTCTGTACTACATACGTGTAATGCGCTGGTCGTGGCATGATCTGTCCAGTCAGTCTGACAATTACCCGCCCTTGCCCTCTATGAATCCGACCGCCCGACAATACAACTTCAAGTCCTTCAATAGCAGTAACCCTCCCCTGCCACCATGGTACGTCTCATGGTTTGTGCCGGAAGCAGCCCGCGAGCGTTGGGACCAGACGTAACCCAGTCCCCAACCTTGTACATCAGAACGTCGGATATTTTTGGACTGTACTACGTACCGTAGTAGACTTCCTGGGATGCTGACGCTACGCTTGACGATCCCGTCGATACTTACATGGTATCACTCCATGCAGAGCGCCACCAGGGGTTCTGCTGTGTATGTGTACATCCCTGACTCTAAGGCTGGCCCTGTAGGCTGTGGATTCTAAAACTTACTATTAATCACGATGCCGATTACCTTGAAATAATTTGCTGACAGCCTGGGATGATTCATTTAGGCCCAAGCAGGGACTGCCGGCTCTGCTGACACCAGCCTCTCTGACTTGAGCAACTTTAGCGGGGATCACTCGACGTTAGAACTAGACCATGAACTTGAATATCTTGGAAACTGTGCCAAATGAAGAGAACTTTGGTGTACGTAGCCCCCCGTCAAAAGAGGACCCTTACCTGTCACGCCGTAGCTCCGGAGTTCGGGGGCGTCATGGGATATCAAGAGGCAAAGCGTCTTGAAATGAGAAAGAGATTCGCCTCATAGAAACCCAAAAAAAAGAAAACATATCTGTCAGCTTAGCGACTGATCTTAAACTTTACTCTTGATAATAATATGACAGGTGGGAGGTCTACGGACTCCGCTGCAAACGCACGTATCCACGAAAGGCCATAACCTTCGGACATCAGCAGAGTGCGAACCATCCTGTGTGTGCTGGCAAGGCAAGCAGCGCTCACTCCTCGTCTCTCGGCTTCATTTAAGCGCCTCTCTTACTGTTTAGGGGTAGTTTGCCATAAAAAAATGACGAGTCTGAACTGACAAGCCTCGGTTTAGCGCCCGCTCCACCCTTCCTTGTGTTACGTGTTTTTGACTTCAATCAACAAGCGGTCTATCTGCATGGCCAAAGTCCAATATTCCATGTCTTACTTTTTCTCCTTGGGCACAATTCGAATCATACCACAATATTGTACGTATGCATTCATAACGACCCACCGACTGAAGTTCTTGATCTTATATTAAGCGTATTCACCACCAACCGGCTCCAACTTGGAGGGAACTCTTGATGAGTTACCCCAGTAACTCACGAAACACCCTTCGATGAATCTGTCTCTTACTACAGGAACTGCCCGTGCCTGTGATCTTTAGTTGTTCCTCTCCTCTATCGCCTTCCATCGTCTACTCCTGATGGCGTATGCTTCAATCCTTAATTCTTAATTTCAATCAGAAATTGCCCAGCATATCTCTCCCATTCATTATTTTCTTCCCTCTTCCGGGCCATGATTGTAGTGGGAGACGATATATGCAGATTACTGCTTCAGTCCAAAAAAGAGAGTACAGTTTTCAGTGCAATAGAGAGTCGTTCTAAGACGAAGTAAACCACCGTTGAATTTACTTACCTATCAAGTTTACGCCTATATCAGTCGGCTGTACACTCTAGAGATTCACTTCAGAATGAGATATGAATTGCCGAAAGTGAAGCGAGTCTTCATCACCATTGACGATAGGAGGCCTCGGGGACATCTTCGTCTGCTAGCTAGGCGTGAGCCTTTCAAAGCTTGTGGATGACGCAAGCCCAAAGCTACCACCTTTACGCCCATGGTTGATCACAGTTTATTAGAGAAAATCATCACCAAAGATATATTTCATGAATATTGTCTCAAAGTTTATTATTTCAATTCTTGAAACCACGATGAAATAGTTCGGTTGCTGATATTAGTTTCAAGTGGTGATGACCTGGAAGGTGATCGTCATCGGGAGGGGCCTGATGAGGAGTCCGACCCCGCCCAAGCCGGGTGCTTCCGCCAGCTGCTTTGCGCTGAATGTCATCTATGTCTGCTCTCAAGCCTAGAGATCCGATGCTACTCAATTTCATTTCTCGTGTAATAATGACGATTCTGTCCGCCCCAAGAAATACATTAATGAGAGATTGAAAGGTGGCATTTTACCCCATCGCGTGGCTGGTCAGGGAGCTGGTATGAGGGGCAGCTATCAGCTAATACGGCGCTATCTCATAGCAATAAACTTCCTCGCAGTGTCACATGGAGGCGTCTTGCGTTCCACCTGAACCCCTCCAACGAAGACGTCCCCTTGCCTTAGTAATGCCGTCACCACTTCCTGTGGCCTGAAGTGAGAAGCTGTATCCGGTCGCCTCACTTCAGACCCCTCTCTTGCATCCAATCGTGAGAATCTCTTCGTGAACGGCAATCTCAGCGTGAAGCAGGTCTCCCACCCCGCTTCCACTGCTCTGCCGCTGACCAGCCTCAAAACCGTCCCCCAGGCTTGGTTGAGTAGGTCTGTTCCTGTGCATCTCTTCTTTGCTTCTACCTCTTTCGTGATCTGGCGTGACACTGCTCATCTGTCCCCCAAAAACCGTACTGGAATTTAGCCATGGCTTCCGCCGCGCACTGTATCGGGTGCTTCGAGGCTTTGGACGCCCATTTGAACAAGCGCAAGCCGCTCTCCCTGGAGGATATCGAGGCATCTTGGGAGAACTACTCCAAATCCAAGCCGGTCGCTCCGAAGCTCCCAGCTCTCGCCCGACTAGCTGCACCCAGCGACTCTTCTCTGCCCGTCTCCTCGGCATCGTCCGTGTCCTCGTCGTCGACACCCAACGGCGGAGATTCCGCTTCCACGCCTGCAACATCAACATCGTCCCTCTCCTTCGCCTCGGTCGCTCGCGTCACCGCCGCAACATCGACTCCGCTCTTTGTCACATGGAACACTTTTGATAACGACGACGATGACGACGACGACGAGACGAGCCTCCGTGGCTGCATCGGCACTTTCGAGCCTCTCCCACTCTCCTCTGGCATCCCCGAGTATGCCCTCATTGCGGCTTTGCACGACACCCGCTTCTCGCCCATATCTCGCCGCGAGCTGTCTTCTCTCCAGGTAGCGGTGACCCTCCTGACCGACTTCGAGGAGGTCGACGATCCATATGACTGGGTCGTGGGCACTCACGGCATCCGCCTGTCCTTCCACGACCGCGGCCGTCGCTATGGCTCCACCTATCTCCCAGATGTTGCGTCGGAGCAGGGCTGGACGAAGGAAGAGGCCCTTTTCAGTCTCACCCGCAAGGCCGGCTGGATGGGCAGCCATTCGCGCTGGCAGGAGCTCGATCTCAAGGTCACGCGATACCAGGGCAAGAAGCATGAGCTGGCGTACAAGGACTTCAAGAAGTGGCAGGAGTGGGTCGAGAGTGCCAAGTCGTGAAGAGGCTATCTACTGGCTTCGTTGCTTTCATGTTGATTCCATTCCGTTTTTCTTTCTGCTGCTAGTATGTCCGCTTTTCTGTTATGGAGCGAAGAGCTATAGAGCTTGGTACAGGCGTTCCTGATATCTTCTCTTTTCCCCCCCATCTCCCCTTCTCCACATCGCTGGATACTACTGCTATCTTGGTCACTATTCTCACCTTTTTATCGGCTATTTTTTTGCAGGTAGTGACCAAAGTTGACATTTGCGGGTTTGTCTTGCAGATAGACTACTATTAACAATAGTGAAATGTAATACGTGTGGCCAGTCTACTGGACGCTGTAAAGCTCAAGTTGAAGTGCGAGCCTGGAGAAGATGGTGCTAATTGAAGCATTCACTATCTCGGGTACAGTAACACGCGTTACGTGATATGCGACACAAGCTTTGATATTCACGAAACTAGCTGGATGAACTTGAGAGCCAGACCCAGAAAGACAGCAGCGCTCTCAACTTTGCCGAGTTTGACGAAAAGCATGTGAAATTTATTTCAAGCAGGGGCGAGCATGTACTTGTTTGGGACAATATTGGCGGGCCCAAGGCCGCTTTTCCCTAGGAAGGTACATGTGTTTCTCAATATCTACCACCTAAGGCTTATTCTACCTACCTATTCTTACGGTATTATTGCGATGGACATAACACTTTGGGAAACAAGAAACATGCCATAGATAAGTGGTTACACCTGGTAGCATCCTCTGTCTCTCTTATCTCTACCTAAGTACGGTGGTTTTTCTTCTTTTCTGCGCCTCCGGGGCCCTCTCGCCACGTAGGATGGCGCAGTAAGGCAGAATGATACTCTGTTTTTCAGCTCATCAGACAACCTTCTGATTGGCCCGTCTTATGGCGAACATTGCATGTTATGTTATATGGTGAACCCCGCTTTCGTCGTAAGATGCGAAGGACGCCCAACAGTTAATGCTGTACATCTTCTGACAAAAAAAGAGCGACTGAATTCACCAAAGACCAACAGATAGACATCTGAGATATAAAGTTACATCATCATGCGAAAGCTATTTCGACCAGATAAAAAGCACGATCCCGTAGGTCCGTCCCTGTCCGGACCAATCGAAGCAGCATTCCCCTCAGGCATCAAACAATTGTATGAGAGCCCAGACGCAAGTGATGTTGAGTATGCCTATCAATATGATGTACCACGTTGGTGAACGTGTGCTTACAGGCTTTTGAGCATTGTCTTTATTCATGGTCTCGACGGGAACAGAGAAAAGACGTGGACGGCCAAGGGCGCGGACGAGCCATGGCCCAAAACACTTCTGCCTTTGGAGCTACCTTCGGCGCGGATTCTTACCTTTGGGTACGATGCGTATGCGGCAAAATGGGAGAAGGGAGGCTCTCAGAATCGAATACGGGATCACGCGTGGAACCTCCTGACAGCTCTGGCGTCATGCCGGGAGAGTGACGATACGGTAGATACAAATCCAGAGACATCGTTCTAGAGGCCTGAACTCTAAAACCGTTATAGAAGAAACGTCCCATCATATTTGTTTGTCATAGCTTAGGGGGGTTGGTCTGCAAGGATGTAGGTTACTTTCAATTTTGATCCGATAGGCGATAACTTCCAGCTAATGCTATTCTCAAGGCTCTTATCGTATCCCAAATGCAATCAGACTCCCATATACATGATATCTATGAGAGCACGCATGCTATTGCTTTCATGGGTACTCCCCATCATGGATCAGAACTTGCCATCTGGGCCGAGAGACTACTAAAGTCTGTCAACGTTGTCCAAAAGAGAAACACGGACATTGTCGGGGTTCTAAATGGAAAATCCGAGGTTCTTCAGCGTATCCAAGAAGGATTCCTTGCAACTATTTGGGGAAAAGAAGAAGGTGTCTCGAGACAAGTACAGATCACTTGCTTCCACGAGGAGCTTACTACAAACATCAAGGGTTTCAACAAGATCGTAAGTTCTGTCTCGACTGCAACCATGACTGGGCTAAACATGCGACAGGTAGTATCGAAAGAATCGGCCTTTCTTCCCGGCTCAATAAGGATCGGGATCCATCGAGACCACACTCAAATGACGAAATTTTCAGACCAGGAGGATCCGGGCTTCAAAGCAGTCTGTGGCGAGCTTCGTCGTTGGGCGACGAGCGCAAAGCCATTAGCCACGAATGAGCGACAGGGAGAATGCAAGATAGCCCTACGTCAGAAGGAGGGAATGAATAACTTCCCTCAGGTGAAATGTACGTTCAGGGATCAATCAGCGTTGCGGCAGTGAGCTAACAAGCCATTAGTCGTTGTGCCGTATCTGAAAAATGACAAGTTTGTTGGGCGCACAGAAATCCTCGATCAACTGAAAAAAAGACTCAGCTTCAGTGAAGAGAACCATGCTTCTCAACGCCGAGTATCGTTATTTGGGCTCGGTGGCGTTGGGTAAGTGAATACACAAGACGAATCACCTATTGTTGTTATTAGTTTTAACAGAGAGCAGTAAGACGCAAATTGCCCTGGCCTTTATTCACTGGATCAAGGAAACAAACCCAGAAGTATCGGTCATCTGGGTACATGCAAGCAACCCAGAGCGCTTCCAGCAGAGCTTTTCTAGGATCGCTGAAGAATTTCAGATACCGGGGTACGAAGACCCAAAGAGCAACGTCCTGGTCCTGGTCCGACAATGGCTGGAGAAGAAAGATTGTGGCAAGTGGCTCATGGTTGTTGACAATGCTGATGATACTGAGCTATTTTTCGGAAAGCCAAGTCCTACAAAATCAAGCCCACTGGATACGTCGACCATTTTTGCCCAATATCTCCCAGAATGCACGCACGGGGCTCTTTTAATAACAACTAGAAACAAGCAAATTGGAGTAAAGCTAGCCTCTGGCGATGGGTCTAGCATGCTCCAAGTCCAGAGAATGGATGCATCGGAATCCGAAAGATTACTAAAAAGTAGATTGGCTAATCTTGCGGCGAACGAAGAGGAAGTAAGAACACTTTCCTCTCGACTGGAGCAGCTCCCGTTAGCATTGGCCCAAGCCGCATCGTTCATATTGGAGTACAGTATGAGTGTTAAAGAATACTTGGAACTTCTCTCAGAGAGTGATGAGAGCCTCATAGACCTTCTCAGTCAAGAATTCGAAACTACTGCACGAGACAGGGAGAGGTCTCGAGCGGTAGCCAAAACGTGGATGATATCATTCCAGCAGATCAAGGAGCAAAACCCGCTAGCATCCGAGCTATTGTCCATGATGAGCTTTTTGGACCGGCAAGACATTACTCTCGAAATCCTGCAAGAATACAATCGCCAGCACCAGGATGATGACTCAAGGAGCAATATTGAGTTGAAGAAGTCAATAGGAATACTTAAGAACTTCAGCCTGGTAACCGAACAGAAAAATGGCAGCTTGGATATTCATCGACTGGTTCAATTAGTCACACGAAGCTGGCTAGATGAGACTGAAGCCAACGACTGGTTCAAAAGAAAAGCTCTTGTTTGCATCTCAAACGTATACCCCTATGGGGAGTTCAACAACCGAGAGGTGTGCAGGGCATATCTTGCCCATGCTCTAGCTGTCTTAGAGCTTCAGGTAGCCAACGAAGATGATGAGGCAACATGGAGAGCAAGATTGTTGCATTGTGTTGGCGGGTATTTTTTACAAAAGGGCCAGTACAGGCAAGCTGAGAAAACGTTCCGAGAGGCCTTTGAGATCCACATGTGCAGTCTTGGAGAGAACCACAATGACACTCTTCGAAGTATGGCAAATCTGGCAGTAACTTTCCATGAGCAAGGGCGATACAAGGAGGCTGAAAAGCTCAATATCCAAGCCCTAGAGGCTAGAAAGAGATCCCTTGGAGAGACGCATGAGGATACTCTTTACAGTATGTCAAATCTGGCTACAACGTTCTGTCTTCTTGGGCGATATGAGGAGGCTGAAAAGCTCCATATCCAAGCCCTAGAGGCTAAAAAGATGTCCCTAGGAGAGACTCATCCAGATACTATAACTAGCATAGCAAGCCTTGCAGCTAATTTGCACTATCAAGGGCGATATGAGGAGGCTGAAAAGCTAGACCTCCAAGCCCTAGAGGCTAGAAAGAAATCCCTTGGAGAGGCTCATCCGAGGACGTTAGACAGCATAGAAAACCTAGGCTATACGCTGCATGCCTTGGGACATCTGGATGCTGCCATGAGCCTGATGACAACGTGTCTTGACAGTCGAAAGCGAGTGCTGGGTAAAGACCATCCCGACACCTTATATTGCGTGAAAACACTCGAATTTTGGGGTAATGGCACGCAAAGTCAGTAGTATCTATAAAGTAGTGGCCAATTATCACTGTTCAGCAAAATGCGACATGAGAATCGATCGTTCCTAAAGACATATAATTCTTCAAACAATCATGACAGCTGGATAGCTTACATTAGATTGCATCTAGACAGCAAGGCAACCGAATTTAAAGTGACCTATATCAAGATTGATAAAATGACTCGTACTGTCCTGAAACTGCCGACGTCATTGGAAGGTAGTTATGTACTCCGGAGGACCCTGTCCCGGCCCCTCAGCTTGACAAATATCTCACTCATTTTCCTTAACTGCCATGTACAAAGTGCAATATTTGAACCACCTCCATCGCGTGATTTGCTACACCCTTGCCCCCATACTCGAATGCCAAGTCTGGGAAAACGGCAAACCGGCACCAAGTGTGAGGGATGGGGGCGATCCATCATCAGGAAGCTTCCTAAATCGAGAAAGCTACATAATGGCGCGGTAGGTGGGCGGGCGTGTACAGGGCTGGCCTTCTAATGAAACGGACCGGATGAAGCGAGCGAGCAATCCACTTCAAGGATGGTGTGGGATGTCAAGGGGGCCGCGTGCAGGGTCTGTTGGATGGGAGGGTCGAGACTCGTCTGGCGGGCAGATTCTATGTAGCTGAGGCATGTCTCTCGGGAGGCAGCCAGTCGCTAAGGATCAAGTCGGTGTCTGGCGGGTGCAGAAAAGAAGCTTAAATTAAGGTTGCTTTTTCTTGCTTTAAGGTTTTGGGCGCTTGTGACAAATGGATATCTTATCCTTGTGCGTGACTCCCCCAGAGCAGCCCTCAAGCTTGACCCGCGCCCGAACCTCAACGCTGTGAAGCTCAGCCGCGACACAAGAGACACAGCGAGCCCTTTCTAGGCCAGACGAATGAGATTGCCATGGCAAGAGGTGTGCCAAGTAGGACCATCCATCGGTAGCACCCTGCCGGAATAGTTGCCAAGAGTCCCCACCACTTAGTAGGCTTGACGCGAGGCCAAGCCCAAGACACATACGCAGCAGCTTGCGTTACAAGGACCCTGCTTTTACTGTCTGGCTGATGCTTCGACGCGGGCTTTTTCCTGCTGCTAGCGCCAGAGCCATGGACAAATGATGTAAAGCATAATCAGCAGGTCGGGTATGCCATGCATCATAGGTATCCCACCAAACCGCCCAAGCAGACGGCCCGTCTGTCTGATGAATACCCGGAGACAGTCCCCTGTAAGTTCTTTTGGCTCTCAATACGACGCTCATGAGCAAGTCAGCTCGCTCCCCATCCCTCAGGCCCTCTCCTCTCCTCAACAGCCTGTTTCTCGTTCCTAGGGCGGGCTAATCTGCTGTATCCCCAAAAGCATTGCCCGCCACGTCGTCCTTCCTGGGGCAGCTGCTCACTGACGCATATTGCGCATAATATGGAGCAGTAGGGATTTCTTCCCCAGTTTTCGTCACGCTCCCGTCGCAGTGCGTGGATGCTCCTTCCCAGGTCATCAGGCGAGCGGAAGCTGTTATAGCGGTAATTTCTGTCTGCCTCCTCTTGATCTAGATGATCCCGCGAGCACACACGCATACAATCGGCTGGCTAACGCTGGCTAACGGTTGTAGATTCACAAAGCTCGAGTCTGTCCTTCCCGGGCCACAAGCCAAGTCGCGAGAATGCGTCAATCCAGAACCGTCAAGCAGGCCCTCAAGAACCTGTTCCCTCGGTCGCGGGCCAAGAGCAACGCCGCCGAGGCCAAGGCCAAGCTTCCCATCTCGGGCTCCTCCACGACCTTGAACTGCTCCGTTTACTCGGAGAAGTTCGAAACCCTCTCCAAAACCCTCTCGACCGAACCGAACAGGTCAGACAAGTACTCCGTGCTGAGGTTGAATGATACGCTTTCAGTATCGATCGGCGACTCGTTTGAGGAAAGCCCCGACGGTCGTGTTGAGAAGACGGACGAATTCGAATATGGCAATATCAGACATCCAAAGCTCATCAGGCTGTTGCTTATTCTGCCGTCTTCAGACCAGACGGAGGCGCTTGAGACCATCATGTTTCATGCCGAGCTGGACGAGGTTCCCTTCCAGGCGCTCTCTCACACAAGCCTAGAGAAGGGCCGTATTACATTGATGCATTGCAATGGCCATAGTCTTGCTGTCGAGGAAAGCCTATATCGCGCTCTCAAGGATATTCGCAATCTCGCGGAACCACACACCTTCTCTATCGTATGGGCAGAGGCTGTATGTATCAACCAGAGCGATATTAAAGACCGTGAGGACCATCTAAGAATGGTTCGAGACATATTCACTTCGGCGCATGTGACGCTTGCGCATTTAGGTGGCACTGAGGATCAGAGCGCCAAGGTCTTTCAAACGATGGATATGCTGCACGAAGCCTGCAAGATTGACGAGTTCCGGGAGCGCCTGGAGCAAGACGAGATTGACATGTCGTCCCTCGAGCACCTCTGCATTGAAGACACGAAGCTCGATATCCCCTTCGAGAACCGGTTGGAGCTGACTCGCCTGTTCTCACATCATTGGTTTGAGAGGATCTGGAACTGGCAGGAGGTCGGGCTTGCCCGAAAGGTATGCCTCATGTATGGCGGCGCGCTACGACCATGGGGGTACTTCGCCGACACGGCCTGGTGCGTGTATCAGCTGAGGTGGGAAACTTCAGTCGGAGACGAATGCATCGAGGAAGACATGTCAAGAGAGGACTTGAAACATTACCACATCCTGCACTTGGACGAGCACAGAGACGGGGCTCTGAAGGGGAAAACATACAGCCTACTCAGCCTGTTGACAGAGTCAAGGCACTTCACTGCCGCCCATCCCTTAGACCGCGTGTTTGCCCTCTACTCTCATCTCGGCAACTCTCGTGAGCGGGACATCGTTCAGGCATTCTTCGACTACGATCTGCCCCGGCTCGCCATGTACCTCAACATCACACTGAATTGCATCCTTTCGCATCGTACGCTAGACGCGCTCCAACTAGCGCACAACAACATAACCGGTGAGTGGCCATCCTTCGTGCCTGATCTATCCCGCAAGGATGGCATGCGCATGCTAGGATCGCGCAACGGGAGGCGGACATGGGAATATCAAGCTTCGGGCGACACGGCTCCCCAAATGGCCATTCTCAACAGTTGGGGCCAGAGCCGCGAAGGCATCCCATACTTCAACGACGACGTGTACATATCCCTCAAGGGCCTCGCAGTCGACGAGATATCCGTTGTTGGGTCAGAGATGAAGGGCCCAACCCTCGGCGCAGCGCCCTACCTCGCGGACTGGGTCAACAAGATCCTCATGGTCAACGGGGAAAGGTTCTACACAACGCCCGAGCTGAAGCGCGCCAAGGAGATGCTCCAAGCCTCGATGAAGAAGAGCCACAACGGCACCAGCAAGACGAACGGGGCCGCGACGACGAACGGCGAGTCCCGTGTGCGGAACACATTCTCACCCTCTCTCATAGAGGCGCTGAAGAAGCTCGACTTGGACTCTAACGAAGAGGTTGAACCCATGGCTGTGCTACCGAAGGACAGGCCATACCCGGCCGGTAACACGACTGATTTTGATGCGTTCTGGCGCACGCTCATCAAGAACAGGGACGAGAACGGGTGTGTCCCCGCGGCCTCCATGGCCGTGACGCACTTCCAGCCTTGGTTCAAAGCTATGTCCAACACGGTGTCTCACATGCTGGAGGCTCTCGCACATGGCCAGAGCGAGGGCTCCTCAACCGGCCCGCGGGCTGAGCCTCTCTTCAATGATCTTGTACACATGAGCTGCAACGGAACCCGGATGATGCGCACAGCTCAGATGGGACTGATAGGCACGGTGCCTCGGACAGCGAAGCCGGGGGATTTAGTGTGTGTGCTGTATGGCGGCCAGACGCCGTTCATATTGCGCAAGTCGGAACGACGCCCGGGCATGTTTAGATTGGTGGGTGATTGTTACGTGCATAGCCTCATGGACGGGGAAGCGCTGAGGATGGGTTTGGAAGAGCGGAAATTCGAGATTTACTGAGCAAGTTTTATTGAGCTTAAATTTCTATGTATATTGTGTGTCTCGTCTCTCTTCTGCACTTGTTGTGCTGGGAGGCCTCCCTTATGGGAACAACTGACTGCTCGAATCAACACTCTTCCTGCTCGCGCGTGACGATCAAACTAGCAAGTGCCATCGATTCCAGTGACTGGGATTCTGTTATTAAATTCTCTCTTATATTCAAAGGTACTATATTATTTTATATTAGCGCTTGATGACATCGCAATGTCCTTCCACACAGGCTTTGTCTCCTCAAGATCAATGCTGGGGTTAAATGCCAACTCAATCTCGCTTCATGAAAATGCTATGCTAACATGTTTAATTATAATCCCCAAGTCGTAAACTGTAAAATATGCGCGGAAGTTGGCTGAATCAAAAGGGAGCATCGCCGCTTGCCATCCATGAATGCAATATATACTTTGTTGTTCCTAAGCATGGAGGAAATATTGACAAGTGCGGCCGAGGTATTGGTTAACAGAGCAAACGACCCCTCATTATGTATGTATGCATGGCGAAAGATGTCGTCTTTGGTATATAAATTGATGTTGTGAATTTCAATCGATTAAATAGTTGATTTCCAAACGCTGATTAGTATGTGCATGCTCTGTTGTCTTCGACGCTGTTCGTAATAGAGAGGAATAATAATATCGGAATAAGGTGGCCAGCCACCCTTCGCTTTGTCGTAACTCATTATTTGCTTGAGGGATTCGAGACGAGACCCCCTCAGGTTTTAACCGGATGCATGACGAAGTTGGGCGCAAATACTTTGCCCCTTTCAGTGGCGAGCATTCCTGGCAGGTCGTCGGTTCCATTGTTCGGGCTTCCGTAAAGCCACACGTCCATTATGTTTCGAGGGTACTCGCTTGCCCACCACCATGTTAAGCCCCTGTTTGCAAAGCTCTGGGGATTGGCATGTGAGAGCCCGTCGGGAGAGTCTTTCGGGTGGTACCCAACGAAGGGCAGCTTCTCGGGATGTCGCCAATTCGTCTTCAGTCTCGATGTTTCCTCATTTTCATCGTCCGATTGGGTTTTCGCCAGCTCCTCGTCGTAGGCGTGCATATAGACTGGCTGAGGCGGGTAACTCAGCTTCAAGCCATGCCACAGGGCAAATGACGGCAGGACAGCTTCGCTGGGCACACTCAAGCCACGGGTATGCTGCGCATTATGGACCGCGAGGAGAAGCGACCGGCTACCACGAGTGATGGCAGGCGGGCAAAACCATCGTGGTGTGTTCGCGCCCTTTGCAAAATTACCAAGAATCCAGTCCCGGAATACCCAGGACGAACCCCGTGCATCTGCGCAGAAACTCGTTACAATAACATCGGCCTCCTCACCAACACCCCAGTCGAAATCGTCCTCGGTAGCATGATCAGTTGGGGGCCGAGGGCCTATGGGATAGATGCCTGAGCCTTCTACTGGTCCCCAAGCGCGCGAGCTGCCGTTATTCGCCTTGTCGACGTCGGTGGAAAATTCCTGATATGAGGTCCAGAGTTCTTCGCTGTAAGGGTATGTGGCACGCTCGAGCGCCTGCTTCCGGGGCTCTTGACGTGCAAATTTCGCGGTAGCCTTCATATATTCGCCAACGTGGCCCAGAAAACGTTGGTCCATCTCCAGCTGCCAAAAGTGATCGAATTCGGGGTAGTGGAGGGCGAGAAGCTGCAATGGCTGGTTGATCTGCCACATGGATCTACCAAGCGTTATGTGAGCAAAAAATTCCATGTCACCACGACTATTATCGGGAATAGAATAGACCTACCGGTGTTCATCAACAGCCGAATACCAGGACTCAAGTAGTTGGTCGTCCCACAGCAGGGCAATGGATCGAAGCTCATTAGGAATGCCTGCCCCTTCCAGCGCCTTCTCGTAGTTTTCTCTCGACCCAGTAATGTTCAATTGGCGGTCGAAAATATTGACAAGCAAGATGACCTCATATTCCCCTCCAGATTGCAAAGCGGCCTCCGTGATGATAGATCGAATGTTCCACATATTCTCTTCGGTGTGTTCAAAGCCTTGGTACGCACGCAAAACGATGGCTGTGCGGCGAGTTGGCTCGAACTTGTGCCACGGTGGCGTCGCGGGGATCTTTCGTTGCTCGAACAGTTCGAACCGGACATCTTGGGCGAGGCTTGTCGTGCGAATGGTGGTGTTTGGGAAGCGATGAGCATTTCGTTCGAAGCACTTTTGTTGCAGGTTTCCCCAGTCGACCGAGTTCCAATCCACCACGCTGCGGTTATAAGTCGGAGAGTCTTGACCGTATCCATAAGGACCATATCGTCCATCTGCTGTCATCCAAGAGCGGTCGATGCCCAGTTCTGCTTGGGAGCCTATGAAGGGCACGGGGTACGCTGAGGCCAGCCAGTCAGCAAAACTAGTCGCGCAGATAGAGAGTGGCAGCTTCTAGGCGTGCGACAGGGACGTTGACGACTTACAAGTGCTCACACGTTCATAATGCAATTCGTCGTCAGGGCTGTCGGATAGAAGATGACCGCGGGCGCCATGGCAAGAGACGGGCTCGGCGAGAGGCTCCAGACCAGCTGGGTTTGTCGGCATGCGCGTCGAGGTTCGGTAGATGATGGCCTCCAGAGTACCTGGATGAGTCCATTCTTGCTCGGCGCCGAGGAAGAAGAGAGCAAGGATGGCCCATAAAATGAGCGACGGGAGCAGGTAACGAAGGCGAAGCGCGGGCAGCCGTCGCGACGTGGCCCAGCGCTGGGGGCTCAGTCTGATCATGACAGCGAAGTCGGCGACATGTAAATCGAATCAACCATGAGGCCGGGCTCGGGTAAGCGCTGTAGAAGCAACGAAAGAGCGTGTTATTTCATACCACCTCGTGCAGAAAAGAGAGTAGATGAAGGAACGAGGAACAAGCGATGGGCACCGCCCACCAGCCTTTAGGCGACGGTCAAGGATGGTGGGAGGCGGCGACAGGGGCATGGATGGGACAGAAAGATGGAGAAGGCGGTTTGGGGAACTTTGGTGTCGCACTGGCCAAGCCTCGCCGAAGTTCTAGCTCCATCTGCCCTGCTCAGGCCGGCGACGCTCCCTGATTCCCTGCCGCGAGACATCTCCAAGAGGAATTAGCCTGAGGGAGCGAGCCACTTTCCGGCTCCACCCATGCCACTATTCAGAGCATCTAGCATGGTTTATTACCGGCAGCAATGACTTCGAGCCACTTGCTCTGTCGCATGACTAGCGAGCACCACCAGTTAGTCTACATAGGGCGTGGGCGCTCAACGCGCCTCCTGGCTCTGTACACGAGGTGATAGTGGGATAGAGTAGCAATATAGACGTCATCGTGGGGGGTAGATCAACTTGGTTACGAGGTGCGGTGGGCTCTCCCTCTTACCGTAGTGAAGCGTGTGCCTCCGGAATCAACCCTATCTGAAATATCTGCAGCGCGCGGAAAGCGGCTCGGCTACAGACCTGAGCTGCCTCCAATTTGGAGATTATTTTCGGAAACTTTTGAGAGGCTGTTGGGTCCACGCTAAATAGCCTATATCGTTAGTGCTGAGGATCCCCTGTTCAAGTGCTGTTCTACCCTGTTCCTCAACGCTGTCTGGCCTGTTATCAGCATGTTATCAGTGGGGCCACAACGGGCTGGACCACTCGGAACGGCAGAACGCAAAAAATGATGAAGAAAAAACCGCCACCCGCGGCACGTTTTTAAGTGTGTGTTCAGTGGCTTGCGCTACGGCTTCCAAGGTCGAACTTACTGCGCGGTAATGACCTAATTGAGCCGCCTATACCGCTCTAGAGATTAGGAGGTGGGAGGCAATTTGCCGTGGTTGCAGCGATGCTACGGTGAAGAGATCAGGGGAATCCTTAGCGCGCTGTAAGCAATTGTCTTGGCGTCCCAGAATCAGAACTCTATTCGAGAAGCCTACGCAGGCAAGGATGGTAGTTCGCAGACTTGGTTTATATCATGTATTCATAGGTGATCAGTTATATTATAGGTTTAGAATTAAAACGGAGAACCTTGTAAAGGACCCAACGCCGCCTCGGCACTTCAACTCAACCGTAAGATCTACCTCAAATCAGAATACGGATCGTCAGTACCCATGCTCTCGTTGCGCATCTCAAATGCGCTCACTACCTTATATATACTATTAGTATTCCCCAAGCTCTCTGTCCCTTTGGTCGAGAAGCAGCAACCGAAGTTTGTCAGTCCCCTTCTTCGGCCTCTCGTCTGATTCTTTAGGACTATCATCGTCTGCTTTTTTAAGCCCCTCCTCCTCTGCTTTTCTAAGCTTCTCCTCCGCTTTTCTAAGCCTCTCCTCTGCCTTTCTAAACCTCTCTTCGTCTAATTCTCTAAGCCTCTGTATTGCTGTTTTGCCCTCTGCGTCTTTCCACAACACACTTGTTCCCTTTTCAATGAGTGCCTTGGCATTGATTATCGCCACTTCTTCCGTGTAGCGATCATTGGCTAGCTGTGCCACGATCAAGTGTAAGCAACTTCTAGATCGACGGATCATGTTGGGATTGAAGTCCAGCTCAAGCACGAATTCCATCAATCTTCGGTTTGGGTCTTGAAGTGCGAGCCAAACAAGGTCGTCTGGGTTGGTTGGAGAAAAGCCCCAGGTATTTCGAAGGTCATTCACCAGTTTTTGGCTATCCACTAGGACTGCATACCGAAAGGATTCGTTGATGGCGTCTTGTGAGACCAGTGATTTTTTTTCCTCGAGGAGGTCGATAGTGTGATCCTTAGTTGATTTAAGATGATAACGCTTGTGCACTCGAGGGTTCTTGAAACAACTGAGGAACACAATATCGACCTCCTGATCATAAATTCTAGCCCCTTTCTTGACAAGAATCTTTGCGAGTCTGGTGCATCTTTCAGAATCAATCACGTACGCCTTGGCGATTGATGTGCCACCAGGGAGCGGATTGTTCAGGCTGGCCCCATAATCGATGACATCTTTTAACAGAGCCTCAAGAGAGGGGTTCCCATTCTTTTCGATTATTCTCTCAAGGAGAAGAGAGACGAATGTCTGTCCACCAGGTGCCATATGGTTGACGCGGCACCCTTTGGCGAGAAACAAGTCTACAAGCTGCTTCATGTTACGATATGAGAGCTTCCAGTCAAACTCCGCGGCCCCAACCAAAGTCATCAACGGTGTGAATCCTTCAAAAAGCGTGGGCCGGTCCAAGTCTGCCCCTTTTTCCACAAGAAGCTCAATGAAACTCTGATAGACCTTGCGTTCAGGCATGTCAGCTTCATAACAGCAAATTATCGCGATGTGAATCGGAGCATATCCAAGACTTTCGGTTTGCAGATTTAAATCAGCCCCCTTATCCACGAGCATCTGGAACATAGACTCATTTCCTTGTCTGAGCGCAATATGCAATGCGCTTCCACCAACTCCAGGGAGTTTCTCGTTTATAAAGTTCGTTGAGAGTTGTAACACTTTCTGTAAAAGGCTCTCGTCTTGGTTCTCCCTTGCCGAAAGGACATGAAGTGCTGTAAGAGCACCACAACCCTGGTTTCGAAAATCACGGGTCAGACGGCAATCTGGAACACGGGGCAATAGAAGTTTAAGAATCTCTCTGTTCCCGCGGAGGAAAGGAACAAATAAGGGCAGCCATGGGGCCATGGCCAAATGGTGCTTGACCTTTCTGGGGCACCATGAGAGCGTGTCTGTGAAGCAAGGCGCCGCTCTCCTGATGATCTGATCCATCTCATAAGAATCTAACTGGATCATTTCCCAGAGATTCTGGCTCGTTGACGTCACACAGACATTGTGTTGAAGCAGTCGCTTGACGATCAAGCAGTAACCCAGGGCGGCCGCCATGTGAAGTGCAGTTGCATATATCTGGGGCTTAGTAGGATGTCGGTGGATAGTGTCCAGCTGTGCCCCATGAGAAATGGCCAAGCCAATAATGCGCAGCGCGACATTTTCTGTGTACTTTTTTGCGGAGACGATGATTGCATATTTAACTGCCGATGAGTCTTCTTCTGTGGCATTTCGCAGATATAGGACCCTGCGAGCGGCGCCATGGGTGGTGCGGCATGTCACCGCCAAGTTTGCAAGGCCGGCGGTTGGGAGGTATGTACATATTTGCGTTTGTATTTCGTTAGGGATCTGGGCCATGTAAGGCCTTGAATTGGCATTGAAGCCATCCATGGTTGAGCAAGTTGTCGTGGAGGGCTCCGTCCTCTCTTTTGGCCTCTTCCTTTTGAAACGATGCCAGGGGGTCGGTTTGGGAAATCCCAGGTCGGAAGCTGTAATAGCTGCTGGTTTATTTACAGCAATGTAAAGATTATGAAGTTCATATAGGTGGTCTATCCTTGTTCGTGAATGTCCGTGGATGCTTATGCAGGCCTGCAGGGAAAAGCAGGAGCCCGATCGGGTTCGATTGGAGAGAAAATTATTTTCGCAGGAGGTGAGAAGGAGGTTAAAATTCAGAGAGGCATCTTTCACTTTATAGCGCTCCAAACTCGCATTGAAATATCTCACTGCCTGGATATTCAGGTGCTACTACTGTTAAGTGCCTAGAAATCAAAAGATTGAACTGAATGCAGTTTACTCGAGCTGAATTGTCAGAGCGAGGTGAGAAACCACTAGAATATTTTGGCTATCTGCCTACTGATGTGAGTTACCCACTTGCTCTACCATCATACTCATCAATGACGCTCCGGGGAGGCTGGTAAGTGCCCAGAGGAGTGTACCTCAAGTGGTTAAACCCAAAGCTCTCTGGCCCTCCGAGCTTGATGCCTCGCTCTGTGCTCGTCCACTTGTCGCTCGCCGCCAGTCCCAACACCACAACCAGCAGTCCATACCTATACTCAGGGGTTCCGACAGCTTCTCCGCTCTGTGCATCAATGACTGTGATCAAATCCGGGACAATAGCCAGGACATCTTCCTGCTTCTCTTTTCTTCCATCTTCTGGCACCTTGATGGCCGCAATGTTCTCATTCTTGAACGGGATCTTGAGTATCCCGCGAAACGCTGAATCAACGGCATCCTCCTTGCCAGACACATCTGTGCCTTGGATCAAGCATTCTCCATAGACATGTCCCGTCTTGAGATTCCGCTCAACTCCAACAATTTTGCCTTTCCATAGAACCCTGCCTGCACTGGGACCACCACACTGATCGATGATAGCCTCTGCCACATTCGAAACTTGATTCTCCTGTCTGGCCTTTGCCACACCTCTACCTATTCTCCATGACTGGGATATGGTGTGCTCCACCACCCATCTTTTGGTCTCGGCTCCCGTCACTGGGGCGTCCGCAGCACCAACATTGGATCCCATCTGGCCGATTGCCGCCCGAAGGATACGCTCAACATGCGCATCCGAGGAGGTCTTTGGCATTACAACCACATTCCCATTGCCGTCCGACATGGCAATAGGGGCCCAGATAGGCGTGCGTTCATTGAAGACGACCGGTGTGGTTTGCCACTTGGTTGGGTACGCGCGGCCCATCCAATCGCCATCCACGGCAGGGAGATTCATCAATGTGCTGGCCCCAATGATCATGCTCTGCAACCCATTCGCGCCACCAATCTCAACAGAGATCATGTGTGTGGCTGGCCTGTCGCAGATCTTGTATAGCTCGTGCTGCGACTCGAGCATCTCATCGCCACCTAGCTTCTCGATGGCCACGGTTGGGCTGCCTGCTCCTCCGCCACAGCCAACCTGGGCATCGTCTGGGATATCGCGGGTATCTACTACCCTGATGACGGCTCCTTTGCGCAACTCGGTTCGTAGGCGTATCTTACTGGAGTAAGGAGATCCGCCACCCCCAGTGCCGAGAATGTAACACCCCGTCGCGATCCATTCAACATCTGTCTCTGAAATATACCATATGCGGTTTCGCACATCAGGCACATATTCATTCACATCAGCCTCTTTACAAGGACCTTTCCTCTGTTTTAGTTTGGGAAGGGCACGTTCAGGGATGGTTTCATCATAGCTATTCTCAGCTTCAACCTGACCTCTAACGCTATCCTCGATGTTCTGGGTTTTGCTGGTATCGAAATCTCCAGCAGCGCGAACGATAAATCGGGTCTTGTTTTCGACGTATGACAAAGGTAGAGTCTCTACTTCCACAACTTCGACAGTGGCAGGGTCGGCACCGGCAGAGACAGTCTTCTCAATTGCCCTTCGGGTAACTGTATCCCTTGCTTCGGCTGTTGTCTGGTTCTCGGTAGAAACAATTATATCCTCCACGGCACTTAATCGTGCCATCGCGGCTCCAATCGCGTTTGCAACCCCTGACCATTGAGGTCTCACAACCTTGCTGGCTCCGGACAGTTCATGGGGTGCAATGACTGCACCGCCACCAACTAGTAGCACCGGGATGTCGCCAGGCGAGGTTTTCATCACGTCGATGATTCTTTCCAGCCTCTTCTTCACAAGGCCCTGGAAATTTGAAAGCAGCTCTGGGGTAATTTCCCCCTGTAGGAGCTCGCGGTTTCCAATCTCCAGGTCTGGGTTAGACATGACAGAAAAGTCTGTTGCTGTGAGTGTTTGGCCACCAAAGACTACAGCCTCACTCGTCAGTTTATTTCCGGTGCTCTCTGGCCCAATTGCCATTGATTCCCCTGTGTGGATAATTGAACCACCACCAAGACCAACGCTCTTGATGTCGGGGCAGGAAAAGTTCATTCTTACGCCAGCCAGGTCGCTGTAAGCCGCCTGCTGGCGAGGAAAGCCGTTTGCCTGGAGAAGGCCAACGTCCGTCGTGGTTCCACCAATATCCACGACCATGATATCCTCATCCAATGTCTGCTGGACAAGATAAGCGGCACCTCTCATACTGTTTGTCGGTCCGCTCGAAAATGTCCGGATGGGAAGCCGGGCTGCCATCGCCCCTGGTAGAACAGTACCATCGTTCTGGGCAATGAAAACAGGGCAATTTAACCCGACGGTCCTCATAGGTTTCTGGAAAGACGAGATTGTCTTTCGCGCAAATGGCAGAATAGCCGCGTTAAGGATCGAGGCATTCTCTCGCTCCAAGAAACCCAAGTTGGCCACCTCCTTTGAACAAACGACATCGCAGTTTGGTATCTCCCGCTTCACTATTTCAGCGGCCCTCTCTTCCTGACGCTCCACGGTATCTATCGGGCTGAATACGCCATTGATGACGATGCTTCTGATCCCCTTCTGTTTGATAATAGAACATTGGCTCTTGATTTCCTCTTCGTCGATATCAGAAATTAAATGTCCATCAACCTCCAGGCCACCCTTCAAAAGGGCATAATGGCCCAAAACGACATCCTTCAGGTCTTCTTCCCAGTCCACACATGGTAGGGCGTGCTTTGAAAACGGGCCACATAGTCGGAGAACTGCGACGGGAGCCAGTCGGCTGGCATCCATTTCAACAACGGCGTTCACGAAGTGGGTTGTTCCGATAGTTACGCTTGCCACATCCGATGCATCAATCCCCGCAGAATCGAACATGGTCTGGATGGCTGTGCTGATGCCATCGCTGGGGTCCGGCGTCGTCGCCGTCTTGTGCCATGCTTTGATGGCCTTGTCGGGCGTGCTCTCTGACGGGTCGATGATGACACCGTCGGTATTGGTACCACCGACGTCGATGCCGACACGGAGGCGGCGTGAAGGCTGTTTTTGTTCTGATGCCATTTTGTAGCCCAAAGGTAGGTAGCAGACAAGGTTGATGGATGGTGAACCAAGTGCAGTGGTGAGAGGATCTGATAAGATTCGGAGATATGCCGCAGGACGGGGTCACCATGGAGCGGGGTCCGGCCTGGCTTCGTTATCTTGGGCCGAAGAGCAGGAATTCCATATTCTCAGTGGGGGACTTTCTTGTGGGTCAACGGGACGCTGACTTGAAATCGGGATGGTAGGCTACCTGCATCATTCAACGGGTGGTTCAAGTAGGTACATAGCTGTGAGTGATGTCTTGACCCAGATGGCTTATGATGAGCACACCCCCTAACTACACCCCTGGGCACTTGAAGGGGGGGTATTGGGTTACGATGGGATGTTTAAATACACTATTAAGCCGTCTATAAGTGAATCTTGAAGTTACAGCTTATACCACTAATATGTACCCAAAATACATACAGGCCACCACAGTTGGGGATGACTCAATATGAAATCCTGAAACTTAAAGTACGTGAATCTCAGATATTGGATAGATATCTCAACAAATATACATCAGACTTAGAAGGACGGTCATCTAGGTCCGTATATTGGACTTGGAGCGATCCCCTTCTCATCTGGGATTCTGCGTGTTGGTAATCCCCCGAATGATAGCGCCGAGGGCTCGCCATCTGCGATTGAATTTCCATCGAAAGTTCATCGAAGGCAGGACACAGGCGAATGGATATTTGGTGGCAAATGTTAAGCAGTACCTTGGTGCCATTCCAAGTTAATCATTTCCTTGTCGAGGCAAGAGGAACCAGAAACACGAGGGGAAGCTTGCACAAGTGCTTAGTCATCCGCCCATGTGGCTTGCAGTGCCTGGATTATTACGTATTATTTGCATTGATTAGATTGGGTTGATGACCCCACGACAACAAGCAACAACGGGGAAGCTTCCAATGCAGACTGAGCTCGCATCTCACATCACCACCAAACACAGGCCGCCAAGCGTCTACGTCAGCCTGGGCCACGCCACCCGCGGAAGTTACGAATACGCATAACGACTTAACGACGTCAAAGCAGCATTCTTTCTTTGTGTCACGCCTCCAACCGATGCCGGGTAATCTACAGCGCCAACCCATCTCATACATCCACCTCCACCTGCTCTCCTCCTCCAGCAAATAACCAGCTCCTGCTCCCAACCAACGCAGGCCACGGCACGCACCGGGTAGCTGTGCGTATCTCGATACCTGGATGCGAAACCCGCCGAGCACTTTGGATCGCATCAACATCTGCAGCAAGCATCGCCATTTCCCAAGTGGCCGGACACGAGAGCTAGCTGGCATCGCCTGCGGAGGTCTAACGGCCTTTGCCTCCCACCATGGCGAACTTATATGACCTGGGATCTCAGCAGGATCATGATGCCAGCGCTTATACTCAGCTACCAGGAACGGCTTCAAACGATGCAGCGCATAATAACCTGGCAGGAGCGAAGCCCCAGGCCTATAATGATGGAGTCGAGCGTCCAGGTAACCTAATCTTGCTGCCGCTCAGGCTCGTTGATCCATCT